GATCTTAATAAAGCAGAAATGTTATCAGAATTTTTTGTGAATTGTTATCAGCAACCTTCTTCTATCACTAACACTACTAACTGTGCACAAATTTGTAATAATCAACATAATTTAAATATAGTTTCATTTTCCATAGCTGATGTAAACAATCTGATAAAGAAGCTCAAAAATAAGAAATCAGTAGGAATCGATCAAATCGGCGTACAGTTTCTAAAGTTATGTGCTGATGTAATCTCGCCCCAATTGCACAATTTGTTTACTGTTTCTTTAAAGCAAGGGATGTTTCCGACATTATGGAAAAGGCGCTAATAAAAGCAATTCACAAAAAGGGCGCACGAAATTTGTGTTCAATTATCGACCAGTCTCCTTTTTATCTAACATCAGTAAAGTATTTGAGCTTCTTATTCATAAATGTTTGCTGCAGCATTTGCATTAAACAAATTTCTTTTCGAACGTACAGTTTGGCTTTAGGCCTGCTTCTTCAACTGTCGATGCTCTTCTACATATTACTATTGAGTTAAATAAAATCCTAGAAGAAAGAAAAATAGGAGTAGGAGTTGCTTTCGATTTCGCAAAAGCGTTCGACAGAGTGAATCATAGAATTTTATTGGATAAACTGGTAAAAGCAGGAATAAATGGAACTTTGCTGGATTGGTTTGATGACATCAGAGACATTATAGAGATCTATCAAAAAGAAAACGGCTTTCGATTTCGATCAAATAATTTCTCATTCTTTTTTCTACGTCATTTGTTTTTCTTGGTGAGCTAAAAGCTTAAGTTTTTTAATATTTTTTGTTATTAAAAATGGAAGAAACATAATTTTTCATATGCTTTTTTTTCCATCGATGCTTTATACAATTTTTCTCTTTCCTGTTTCTTGGTTATTTTTTTTTGGTTTTTATGAGACTTTTTAACTGAGAATGAAACAAACATAATTTTTTTTTCCTTATTTCTATCGTTGGTTAACTACATATGTTTTAATCGTACTGCATGGATACGAGCATGTGAAATGCCTTGTTAAACGAAGAATTATTAAGAAACAAGTTGTCGTTGATGAATATTGGTATGTTCACATGTAGTTTGTTCTGTGTGTGAAATGTGACCAACAGCAGTCGAATACAAATTGCGTATCAGAAATTAAGCTTGATGACTTACAGAGAATACTTCATTAATGGAGTACATACACTGTCTCTTTGCATAGGTTAGTTTACAAGTTAAATACATCAAGCCCCAGTTGTCTAAGCCATGACTCATCTTCTACATAAGTCACACACGGGGGAAAAGAGTAGAAAAAGTCAGAAAGAATATGTGTATAGTGTATAGCATACGTCTGCTCTTGAAGAACCGTACATTTTCGTGTGTACAATTTGTTATTTTTTCTTAATAATGATGTAAATGCCTCTCTCAACACATGAAAAGAAAAATAATTAAACCTACTAGAAGATCCACTTTTACTCCATCAATTGTTCAGTTTCGACGATGATCGTGAAGAAATGAAGAGCCTCTCGCTATCTACAAGTTCAAAAATCTGTTAGTTATTTATCACAGGTACTTTGCGTAAAGAATGCGTCTTCATTTAATTATTTCACATTTGAAAAATAATATTTTTCCTAACATTCAGTCACTAACAACAGATAGTCCTAAGATGGTGGAATTATTTATGTACCTATTTTGTCTGTATACTGTATGGTTCTAAGACTTCGTTCTGGCTGCCGAAGATAGAAGATTTTTTGCTCTACCAAACTGTCAACATCGCACACTTACACTACGTCGTTTGGGTAGTTCTTCCACTGCTCTTTCCAACATCTCACGTTGCCAGAAAGTGTGAGTCAACTTGTGCACTAAAATTTGTACAAGGTGGATGCTTAAACGGAAAAGATAGCCAGCAATCCACTAAATACTTTTTTAGCATCCTATTTTCTCAGTTAAAATATTATTGCTCGAAAAATTACATAAAAGCCAAACAGCCATCAGAATTTTGATAGTAAATCGCAGTTATATATACTCCGTACAAGTCCTCACCCTACACTATTCTTTAGATATATTAAAAGAAAGTAATGGATTTGTTAACTTCTGTTCTGAGAGTTAGTGGTAAAATATTCTATCGGATTTGTCTAAATAGGAGTCTTAGAACCTCAGTTAAGCTAAAGGAAAAGAGACCAGAAGTGTCATTATTTCTGACTCACCCGTTAAACTATTTACTTTTCGAAAAAAGCGCTTTCAACTGAGAAAAAAACTAATTAAAAAATGCACAGTTGATCACACTCCGGATGAACACTACGTGTTCTGAAACTATGAAAACAGATCTAGATGACGCATAAAGAAACACAAACACGAAATGAAGCGCTCTCTGAAGATAAGAAGGAGAAAAAAAGCTAATAATTAGAATAGTCCTTTTCTAAGAGCAACTTTCTTGAAAAACAGCATGACAATAGCAATAAATCCCTTTTATTCCTGCAAATACATCTGTGCAAATTTTATTTTTTTCTTCAACGAAGTGTTTACATACACGTCTGAAACTAACTATATTATAGTCTTCGATTTGAGAGAGAGAAGTTAAGTTGAAAATAAAAAGTTGATGTATTTAAATGTCCTAATGCATCTATAGTCAGAGCGAATGTTGACGTGAAAAACAACTTCAGTTGCAGAAATTTAATGAAGCGTGTATGATTGAAAAAACTACGACGCATCCGTAAGCCTTGATTTTTCAGCACAAAGAAGGTAGTGTAAAATGGTTTGAATATGTGAATAGAAGGCTATAAGGAAGAACCTGCAGAAGTGTATGTAGTGCTAATTTATCAAAATATATGCTAGAGTCGTTGCCTATGGAACGTAACTTCTTTCTTGTAAATATTCACTTACTAAGTCCAAGTCTTCTAAACTCGCTAAACATCTTCATAGTTATTTCTGAGAGAATTTGTGCTTTGTAAGTATTTTAACTTCTTACCGCATGTCTTTCTTAATGCAACACATGAGATTGAGACATCGTTGTAAAGTAAGTTTTGACTTTCGGATCTTTAGGCAGAATGCTTAATACACAACAAATTGTTAGATCTCGAGCATTTGCTGAGGAAAAAGAAAACTTTTTGAAGAGTAAATTGGTCGAAGAGAATGTCTGGTTTTTCGTTTTCTTTTCTACAGAACAACTGAACATGAAACAAATGTCAATCTCTGTTTGACTACAGGCTTATTCTTTATCAGATACTACTAAAGTATGAATATCTATATCTCTCTGTTCTCACAAAAACGGTAATTGCGTATGTAAGATTTAATCTTAACCATAGGACTTATTTGCTATTTTTATAGCAAATACATTGACGATCGATGATGTCCAAATAATAATTAAAACTGCAAAAAGGCGTAAACAAATTATCTTCACTTCACACGACGTTAAAAAAGTACGATGTTTTATATGTGACAGTAATCAGAGCCGTAACGTTTGATGAGTATTCTAATACATCATGTCTTCTTTCTGTTTCCCATATGTACAGACATTTCTTCATTGCGTTGCAGAAACGAGAACGAAAATGGAAAAAGTAAATACAACGGGAGATTTTTCATTCTCTTACATGTTCATATGATTACAGTAGGGATGGCTCTTCATCATTACTGTTACTACTAGCAAGTAGCAAAGCTGTTATTTGTTAAAGTAACAACGTAACATCTGTTGTTACTTGTTCTTCACTTCTTACTAACAAGTAACAAATTTTTGTTATTTGAATTGGTAAAGTAACACCGACCCAAGCAAAAAAATGTCATTGAGAATATGCAGCTGTAAAAATATGTTATCGGGCAATATCGGCTTGTGATCGAATTTATTTATTTCTCAATACACAGTACAAAACACCATTGTCTCTAACGTGATTTCTATTTTCTAAGCAGTTTTGTTCAGTGTAGGTTCCACTGTCGAAGAGAAAAACATATGTTTTAAACACCTAGAAAGGATTTTGTCATTTCAAACAAGATGGAACGTTTCTGGGAAGTGGTAAGGGTCTTTTATTCCTACAAAACTCAAAGTATTTCTTGTCATTTCAAATTCTGATATTCTTTAATTACGATGTGATTGTTAGACCTCGATAGCCAGGTTTTTCAGAAAAAATAAAGTCAGGTAATACCTATTCTTGTTGAATGATTGAAATCGTAGAACACTTTCTACTCTATCGACACCTTTATGTTACTTGAAGAACTGCATTGTTCAAACATATTTCTATCTCGACGCCAAAAAAAAGCAAGGATTAACTTGAAAATACTGTGGGTCAAGGATAAGCTTTACCGCGATGAATTCTCGGTCATATACTTTAACTAGACATGCACCGGTTATGCTTGTAACCAGCAATCATAACCGAGAGGTTGTGAGAAGAAATGTATCACTGTTCTGCTTCAAGAGCAGTACAATAACTGAATAATCGATTGGTTAACCGTCGGTTATTTTCGATTATTTGTAATCGATGCAAGCCTTGATGTGATAAGAGTCTGCGCGGGCACAAAAACCTTGCACGAGGCAAGGGCAAATAACAGATATGAAATTCGTTCGTTAAGCCAAGAAGACGTAGAATTGTGTGTGGTTTCTCTGGTTTTGGCGGTTGGCCGAAACCGATACAGCGCTACGAAATATAAAGAAACCTCGCTATCTTCTTATCAGTTTTCCGGTTTGAAAACCGAAACAGATGCATACCTACTCCTTCTCTCCTTCTCATCACGCATATACTAGACTAGCTTTAAACTGAACACTCTCCCAAGTCACACTTAGCATCCATGATACAATGTCTTGAGATTCTGGTCTTGTGTGAGCAGAAAATGTGTAGTGTTTCGGTTTCTTTTCAATAGTGTCCCATAACTGTTGATGAATTTTTCTCCCACTTCCTTGTAATGACACTAATTTATTTTATATGCCGAAGTTTTATAGTGTCTAGTGATGTGTTTATTTAACATTGACTTTGATACTCTTCTTTCAAATACAGAAGGTCAACTACGACTTGAAAACGTTCGCACTGTAATCAATGGCAAATCAATTGATTAAAGTAAATGATGACTCACAAGCTCAATGGTACTGGAAATCGAATCCGAATTCCTGGACGATCAATGAAAAGGAAGAATGGAGAAGATATTCTGACATTCAATCCGACATTATTGAAAAAGCATTCAACCAAAAAAAGAAAACAAAGTTAGTAGAATTGGATAATTATTGGATCGACTTAAATGACTTGATTCAAATCAGTAAACACGATAAAAATAAACAAAGACAAATAAAACGAATGTTAGTTAATAGAAATGAAAACGCATGTTTACGAGAAGAGAGATTCTTTTTTCCAGAACCACTGCAGAAACCGTTCAATGAGGAGCGGTTGGACGGTGGCTATCATGGCTTTATTAAGGAATGGGAGAAGAAAAAGAAAACGAAAAAGATTTTGTTTTTTTCAAAAGAACAAAATATGAACGACCTTGCTAATAGTGAAAAAATAGAACAAGCAGTCAACGGAATCATCTTCGAAGGAAATCGACTAGGCGAAACGTGCGAAGCACAATGGCTTGCCGAGCAATTGAGAACTGTGAAAAATAAGGACACAGAAGAAATTCGTAAGTGTTGCATTAGACTGTATTCCAAAGAATGTTTTCTATACAAACTTGTTAATACAACGTTGAGAGAAAATGATAAGACGAAAGTAGATACTCTCGGTCCATTCTGCTACTTTTTATTTGATTCATGGTCAAACGATTCTAACAACCAGTATAACATGAAAGTCTATCGAGGTGCCAAACTTAGTTCAGAAATGATTGAATGCTATAAAGAAGCCATTGGCACATACAAGTGTTGGTATGGCTTTTCTTCAACAAGTAAAAATCGTCAAAAAGCAGAACAATTTGGAAATACGTTATTTATAATTGATCTGACTCAGTCCAAGGGAGCTGGCCTTGATATCTCATCATATTCATGTTACCCAGGTGAAGAGGAAGTCCTCCTTCCTGCTGGAACAGAGTTTAAAATTATCAAAGTGCAATCCAACATAGAACACAATAAACATTGTATTTATTTAACTGTTATAACTGACCTGGATAACGAAACAAACGGTGATTTATGCAACAAAGGTTTATTAGCAGATGACGCACGCGCAGTCGCTAATGCATTGAAGATCAATACAAGGTTGTGTAAGCTTGATATATCAAATAATTATATATGTAGTGAAGGCGCAAGATCCATCGCTGATGCATTGAAGAGCAATAAAGCGTTGACATCGCTCTATATTTCGAATAATAATATATCGAATGAAGGTGCAACATCCATCGCTGATGCACTGAAGATCAATACAAGATTGGGGGAGCTTGTTATATCAAATAATAATATATCGAATGAAGGCGCAACATCCATCGCTGATGCATTGATGATCAATCAAACATTAACATTGCTCAATATTTCGAATAATAATATATCGAATGGCGGCGCAACATCCATCGCTGATGCATTGAAGATCAATAAAACATTAACAATACTCAAAATTGCGAATAATAGTATATCGAGTGAAGGCGCAACATCCATCGCTGATGCATTGAAGATCAATTACACATTGAGGTGGCTCAATATTTCGAATAATAATATATCGAATGGCGGTGCAACATCCATCGCTGATGCATTGAAGATCAATCGAACATTGTGGAAGCTTGATATATCGAATAATAATATATCGAATGAAGGCACAACATCCATCGCTGTTTTATTGAAGAGCAATACAAGATTGGGGGAGCTTGTTATATCAAATAATAATATATCGAATGAAGGCGCAACATCCATCGCTTATGCATTGATGATCAATCAAACATTGACATCGCTCAATATTTCGAATAATAATATATCGAATGGCGGCGCAACATCCATCGCTGATGCATTGAAGATCAATAAAACATTAAAAATACTCACTATTTCGAATAATAATATATCGAATGAAGGCGTAACCTCCATCAAGAAGAACTTTCGAGGTCTTTTTCTGTATTGTTAGTGTAGCATTTAATTGTAGAGAAATTTTATTTTATGTTGCCTAAACGTTTTCTGTTTTTTGCCTTTGTTGTTGCCATTTTTAAAAAAACTGCCTTTTTGTTTTCGTATTCATGAGAACTCCATTCATCACGATGATACTAAGAACTCGTTAACATAGCTAGTATTGATTCTCGCAGCTGTTCTACTTATGTATGTGGTCTGTGTTCTTTTGTGTTGTTAAAAAGAGTAATTCCCTCTTTTAATGGACACGAACACATCGAGTACTGTCATAATACGGATAGAGAATGCATTGATTCTATACACAGAGCAGTGATATTGAGTATGATTTTGATCGCTTCCATAGTACACGTTTACGCTCGTGTCGCATTGATACCAACAATACATCAGTTTACATATTTACCCGATAAGGAACTGAAAGGGCTGAAAATTACAGCAGAGACTGGGTAAAGGCTTTTTGGAGCGAATGGAAACCTGATTTGAGTGATCGTGACACTAACCGTGCTCATTTTAGTGAACAATTTCATACAACCTTGTTTTGTAGAATTCTTGATCATTTACATGGTCAATATAATTAGTATTTTCAAATTCTCAATTCAACATTGAAGTCCTTGAGACATATATCACCACTAACAATCGAAAACTTTAGTCAAACAGAAGCTGATGAACTAAAGGTATTGATACCTAGAGTAGATGATTCAGTGTTGTTGTTTCAAGAATTTCAACAGCTAACATCAGAAATTAAAGAATGTGCTGATATGAGAGCAGTAGCAAAAAAAATGCTAAAAAGCGTCGTTCATTTACGTTATCGACGTCTTTATCGTGTGTATGAATTTATATTAACATTACCAGTCACCGTATCATCTAAAGAACGTTCCTAGAATTCCGGTTTTCCAGAAAGCCTAATATCAAGCTTTTTTTACACAATCCCGATATGCACTTCATCTGACATAAAAGTCTTCGGTATATTCAGATTAGTACTCCGAGTTGTTCCAGCTGTTACTCAGAAAGTGAATAATTAAAAACAAAGACGCTCACCAATGATTAGCCCCGATTACCTGCCTAAATTGCTAATGGAAAAAACCTGTGCAGAGATATTTTCGCATTAGTCATGTCCTTATGCTAATTATGAACTTGCAAGAAAGATTTTTGTTCAACTCGTCTGCAAAAAAACTCCAGCCAAATCTATTTCGACTTCATATGAATACAACGATAACGCTAATAAGAATCTTTTATCGTTAGAAAGCGATTTATATTCATATGAAGTCGAAATAGATTCGGCTGGAGATATTTTGCAGACGCGTTGTAGAAAAATCTTTTTTGTAAGTTACTTAATAGCATAAGGACATGACTAATTCGAAAATATCTCTGCACAGGTCTTTTCCGTTACCGATTTGGGTAGGTAATCGGCACTAACCATTCGTAGAAATCGTGGAAAAACCAGAAGCCGGACATGGTTAACAGTGGAAAAAGTCCAAAATTTGGAAAACTTCCACACCGTAGCCGCCCACGGAAGACGTTTTTATAAAAGTACAACGGCCAGAGAATCTCAGTACAAAGCTACATCTGCCTAAAAAACCCATTTCACCAAAAAATCTTGCCTTTGAAGCAATAAATAAGAGCCAGTTTTTAGGAAATAATGCGTCTTATCTCCGTAATGGAAAAGACCTGTGCAGAGATATTTTCGAATCAGTCATGTTCTTATGCTAATAAGTAACTTGCAAAAAAGATTTTTCTACAACTCCTCTCCGAAAAATCTTCAGCCAAATCCATTTCGACTTCATATGAATACAACGATAACGCTAATAAGAATCTTTTATCGTTAGAAAGCGATTTATATTCATATGAAGTCGAAATAGATTTGGCTGGAGTTTTTCTGCAGACGAGTTGAACAAAAATCTTTCTTGCAAGTTACTTATTAGCATAAGGAGATGACTGATTCGAAAATATCTCTGCACAGGTCTTTTCCGTTACGGAGATAAGACGCATTATTTCCTAAAACTATTTATTGCTTCAAAGGCAAGATCTTTTGGTGAAATTGGTTTTTTAGGCAGATATAGCTTTGTACTGAGATTCTCTGGCAGTTGTACTTTTATAAAAACGTCTTCCGTGGGCGGCTATGATGCGCAAGTTTTCCAAATTTTGGACTTTATCCACTTTTAACCACGTTGGACTTATGGTTTTTTCACGATTTCTACCGATGATTAGTCCGGATTACCTGCCTAAACTGGTAATGAAAAAAACCTGTGCAGAGATATTTTCGAATTAGTCATGTCTTTATGCCAATAAAGAACTTCCAAGAAAGATTTTTGTTCAACTCGTCTGCAGAAAAACTCCAGCCAAATCTATTTCGACTTCATATGAATATAAATCGCTTTCTAACGATAAAAGATTCTTATTAGCGTTATCGTTGTATTCGTATGAAGTCGAAATAGATTTGGCTGGAGTTTTTTTGCAGACGAGTTGAACAAAAATCTTTCTTGCAAGTTCCTTATTAGCATAAGGAGATGACTGATTCGAAAATATCTCTGCACAGGTCTTTTCCGTTACGGAGATAAGACGCATTATTTCCTAAAAACTGGCTCTTATTTATTGCTTCAAAGGCAAGATTTTTTGGTGAAATGGGTTTTTTAGGCAGCTGTAGCTTTGTACTGAGATTCTCTGGCAGTTGTAATTTTAAAAAAACGTCTTCCGTGGGCGCCGAGAGCGCGCAAATTTTCCGAATTTTGGACTTTTTCCACTGTTAACCATGTCGGACTTCTGGTTTTTTCACGATTTGTACCAATGATTTGTCCCGATTACCTACCTAAATCGGTAACGGAAAAGACCTGTGTAGAGATATTTTCGAATCAGTCATCTCCTTATGCTAATAAGTAACTTACAAGAAAGATTTTTGTTCAACTCGTCTGCAGAAAAACTCCAGCCAAATCTATCTCGACTTCATTTGAATATAAATCGCTTTCTAATGATACTCTTATTAGCGTTATCGTTGTATTCATATGAAGTCGAAATGGATTTGGCTGGAGATATTTTGCAGACGAGTTGTAGAAAGATCTTTTTTGCAAGTTCCTTATTAGCATAAGGAGATGACTGATTCGAAAATATCTCTGTACAGGTCTTTTCCATTACGGAGATAAGACGCATTATTTCCTAAAAACTAGCTGGTATTTATTGCTTCATAGTTCTACAGTCAGAGTCGTATGATTTGTAACAAATACTCGGTTTTTTTAACTTACTCCATATAAGATAAATGGATTTTGTGAATAAGTAATGTAACAACGACGGGAGATATTTTTTATCAAAAATCGTAATACATGATCACTGATGAAATGATAATAAATTAGAACTTAAAAGCTAAGAATGCTTACTTATTAAGCGTAACGGAACATTTCGAAAGTGTGAAGGACGGTTATGCTGTAATATATTTTATTTTGGTTATTGATCAAGCCCTAGTGGAAATCTTAGACTTCTTAGAATTATCTTACTAAGATAAGATTCTGATAAGATAATCTACGATCTTATCGCTTAAGATCTTAATAAGAATTAAAGCCTCTACTTTCATTCACCCTTTTGTTTTGCTCGCATTCATCTATATAAGTAACACCGAAAGTATGAGTGATTTTGCGTTTATTTTTCTTCCAATCTCTGCTAGTACTTGCTCTCTCGAAAGTGTTCAACAAGTTTTTAAAGAGTGTACATGCGGTACATTAAATTGATTTAGAGCCAATAATTTAGAAAAAACTAATCGTTTGATAAAAGCAGCATCCATATTTAAAATTATTATTACTTAACGTTTCGACTGTCCATACAGTCATTTTCAAGCGAACATACTGTACATAAAATTAAGTTCACCAGAATGACAGAAAACATGTGTATATATACAATAATCGTGCTAACTATAGAACAAGAACGAAGTTTCTTTATCACTCTTTTCTTTTCAAAAGTAAAATAAAAGAAGTATGATCTTTGTAAGAAAAGCAGACTAAAGAAAAGATTAAAGTTTATCTTTTAGGAACATTGAATATTTCAAGTTTTTAGCTGAGAGAGAAGACCATGTTTTTCGAGTAACATAGCCTACGATTGAGAATGCGCTCTCACTGGGGACTGAGGTTGCGGGTATAGGACCAAATCGACGTGCCATCTGGTTCAATATTGGAAGTAAAGTTGAATGTTTTCTCCAGAATGACGCAAATGTATGACCGTTCTTCTCCAGTGCTTCGAGTTGAGCAAGTTCTTGCTTCAGCGTGAAAGCTTTAGCAGTAACCGTTGAAAAAATTTTTAAAAATTCAAAAGAGCTGTTCAAACATATCAGCTCCTTTCAAAAGATCTGTTCGAATATATCAGCTCCTTTCAAAAGAACTGTTGTAAAAAAAACACAAGTCGTAGACTGGTGCAGACTGATTACCTCGCGTAGTATAATCCTACAAAAAATTTGGATAAAATAGTTTTGAGCGTATTTGAAAACACGTTCTATTCATCAAGATTAAATATCGTAACGTAATGTAACATTTTCTACTATTGTCTCTATTTTACGTTTGACTTCTTCCACTTTGATTTGAATTTTGTTTCGCACTTGTTAAAATTTATCCTAATTGCATATGAGGACTATTCCGAGCACTATCGAACGTTTCCATGATTTTTACACGTCAATAAAGTATACTTTCCTGGTAAGTCAAATTTTAAAAGTATGATATCTAAGTTAACGAGTAATTGATTTGTCTTGTGAATTTGTCTCCTCCTTTTCCTCATTTTTGGTAAGAAATGGACAAAGTTGACTGATTATAGAATAGTGTTGGGTCAAAGAGGCTTCTTAAGGCTTAGTCATCATACGTTGCTTTTTATCTTTGATACAAACACAGTACCGTCTGTTCTTATAGGAATCATTATAATATGGCCTGGATCTTTACAGTAAAGACTTTACCACATATAAATATTTTTGTGATCAATAGACACTTCTTATCATTGCATGCTGAGTCATCAATAGTCCTCTATTTGGTATATATA